AGTTGCCAACTCTGCAAGCAGAGAACACAGGCACTGTGCGTTCATGTGGATGTCCAAAGGCACAAGAACGTCGGGGGCGCACACACGGTCTGGCTTCCAACCTGCTCAGCAGAGCTCAGTGGGCAGGTCCGTCTCTGCTCCCTGGGTCTCTGACTCCCTGGCAGGGAGGAAATGGGCATTGTTGCCAAAAATAAACGTTCCCTCTCCCACTCCCTGGCTCCCGCTCATTAGGATGCGTGGCGTTTGGCTTCGGTCCCACACCTTGCAGCTCATTATAAATATGCAGTCGCTGCTGGCGCTACCCCAATCATCTCTGCAATCAGAGCTTTTAATTAGGTTAATTAAATTGTATCAAATCTCGCAGGGACGCAGTTCACTGATGCTGATGAGGCAGCCAAAACAGACCCCAGCTCCTTGGCTAATGAAGGCCGCTGCCTGCCTGTGCGGGGAGGGAGCCCAAGCGCATAATAAACGGGGCGTCCTCTGGGAGGAGTTGCTGCCCAGCCCAGCTCTGGGACCTGGCAGTGGGTCTGCATCAAGCCATCAGGCTCCAGTTGCAGTGGAGACTCCACCCCAGGGTCCATCCCCTCACTCAAGAACTACCCAGGACAGCTTCAGGAGCCCTGGCATGTGGACAGTGTCAGCCCTGAGCACGGGCCACCTCTCCACTGCAAACCCAGGTGTGCCCCCGAGATCCACTGACTTTCCCTGGGGTTCCCTCTTCATTTATTTCCCAGAATGGCCCAACAAGAGCAGGACTGCATCCCCAAACACACACACACACACACACACACACACACACACACACACAATTAGCCCTGTCACTATGCCTCTGGATTGTCTTATTAGCCAGTGAGGCCAGCCTGAGACTAGAAAGCTCATCCTGCCACTGCTGGCCCAGTCTCCATCTGCCATGGAGGCCATCTGCCCCATCAGGGGAACGTAGGAGTGGTTTATGCTGCCACCAGCCAGTAACAGGAGGGAGTGGCACCCCCTAGTCTCCATGTGCCAGATGGATGCTGCATCTTCATACCTACCATTCCACCTCTTTAGCCCTCTGTGAGGGACACGTGTCCCCGACTCCTGGGATCAAATTAGCTGGAGATGTGACATGGTGGCTTTCTTCCCTGCCCCTGCCCATCCAGAGCTGACTGTCCCAATCCCCTGGCAATACACTGCTAGCCCCTGGACACCACAGGCTCCAGAGCTAGGGGGCCCTGCCAAGGTTCTCCCCTCCCTTTGAGCAGGAAGGCAAGTGCTGCCACCTCCAAAGGGGCTGTCCCCAACACCACTCTCCTAGCTCCGACCCCCTCCTCTTAACCTCTCTGTCACTGGTCTGTGTCACTAAGCAGCTGAGGAGAGAGGATGGGGAAATTCTCAGTGCTCTGGGGACACGCAGTTTCTGCTGTAGAAGCTGGTTTTTTCGGTTTGGAAAGGTTTTTTTCCACCCAGTAATGTGAAAACACGAAACCTGAAACCAACCCCCCTACATTTGTCACCTCAGAAAGAAGCCTTTGGGGTAACTTGGAGAAAGCTGTAAATGAGTCAGGCTGATTCAGGGCAGGGGTGGGGCCGCCCAGCTGCCTCAGGGGCACCACAATTTCATTAACACTTGTGATCTAAGCATGGCCCCTCAGGTGACAGATGACAGGAGGAGAGGGCTTCCTTCCCACCCTCAACCCCAAACACAGTAGTCCCCAGGTAAATTCCTCCTGTCTAGAAATAGCGAGGTCCTTAGCTCTCTTCTAGACCAGCCTGTACTCCGCTGCCCCCTGCCCCCACGGAAGCAGAGGGCTCAGGATTGGACTCCTGGCCCAGCACCAGGCAGTTTGCTCCGCTCACACAGGACATAACAGCCAACGTCATTGCCAAGATCATCAAGTGAAGCAGAGAAGACTGGGCACAGAGGTAGGCACAAACTTCAGTAAGGAGAGATACAGGTTAGACATAACTTCCCAAATGCAGTGTTGATGGGCCCAGGTATAAGAAACAGGCAGATTCCTTAGAGTCTGAAGAAGCAGGAGAGATTTTTTCCCTCTGAGCAGAGGTGTCTAGGAAAGAACAAGCAGAAGCATGAACCAGGCGGCATCTTGAGCCTCCTACCTCCTTGCAGTGGATTTAGGTAAGGCGGCGGTGCCTGAGTCCCCAGCGCCTCCTGTCCTGCTCTGCACTTTCTGCTGAGATGGACCCATGGAGCTGGACGGGAGCCCTGCCAGCACGGAGGCCCGGTGCCCTGGGTGGCAAAAGAGAGTGTACCCACTGACCCCATGGAGCAGTGCATGGGCCCCAGAAACCTGCCAGGCTCAGCCCTAAGACAGTATTCTGGGTCCACCCCCAATTCCTCCACTCACCTGGGACTTTGGGCCAGGATTCCCACCCAAGCTCGCGCCCACCCTTTCCCAACACCCTGTGAACTGATCCGCTGGAAGAGCTAAGGAGGGAGGGAGACTAGCACCCACTTGCCTCACTGTTTCAAGTCCCAGCAGGCCCTAGCCTCACCACCTCCACAGGTAGGTAGAGCAAGTCTGTGACTGCTGGCTGCCTTCCCCGCTGGAGGACATGCAGCTCTAATTGTTCGCTGCCCCACAGCAAGCAGCGTGGGGAGACACAGCAAGGTGGAAATACTCCAGCACATGGGGAGACCCCCGCCATGTCTGGGTGGAACCACCTTCTGGAGAACCTGGAACTCAACATGCTTCCTCCATGGTCCTCACTAGAAATGTCAAGGGAAAGCCCTTTCTAGCCCTGTCAGTCTTTGCCTTGGAGCCACACTAGTCTCAAGCTGGGGGAGTTGGAAAAAATGTTTTCACAAGAGTTCTCCCTATGACATTAAATCTCATAAATACATACATACTAAGCACCTACAAGTACAGAGTACAGGATTCTTCTGAGAGAAGCAAAGTGTGCTAAGGGGGTGGAAACCAGCACCCTGAGAACTAACCCCAGTGAGGGGCAGCAGCTCCACCTACCGGGCCCTTTCCCACCCTGCCACCAGCAATCAGTTCCTCTAGTCAGAAGATGGTATCCAGGAATAAACCTAGGACCTGGCACTCTCCCGCTTCCATCACAAATGCCCTAAGCTGTGGCAACGGACTAAGACTGAGCAGGACTGTTTGGTTCTCTGCTGCTGAGACCTGGGGATTCCGTGTTGCCCCTGCAGCTGCTGCTCTGGAGACTTGGTTTGTATGAGACCAGAACCACATGCTCTCCACCTCCATAGGCTGCCCACATTCTCCTTGGCACAGTCAGAGCAGGATGCCACCAAGAGCCCAAACCACCCCCTGGGCCAGGACAGGGGTGTGTGTGCATCCTAAAGGAACAATAGTCTCTTCCTTCACCAAGCAGTGCGCCAGGAGTCCAAGGTTCCACCGAGCACCAAAGTATCAATGCCCTGGACTAGTTCCTGGAGGCTGGAGCCTGTCTTGGCACTAATCACAAGAGGCAGGCAATCCCAGAATCCTTGGGTCTCAGAGGCAGCCCTCAGTATAACAGCAGGACACCTAGCTTTATCCCCTTAATAGTTCCCTGACTACCTCCAGATGGAAATTACGGTAGTCCAAGAGGTGGGCTTTCCAGCTCCATGTGGCCTTCACACACTCTGCTTTAACCATCATTGGGTGCCTACAAAACATGTTAGGACCTGGGCATGAACCCACAAAGTGTTTGTGCACAGAGTATGCAGCTGTGCATGCATCTGAATTTAAGAGGCCTGAGCTGTACATGCCTTATGCATCTATTAATGTGAGAGCCTATGAAGCAGGTGTACCTTTGTGTGGCCACATACTTCAAGACAAGGCATTCAGGTAGACTCCCTACTTTCCTCCCACCTTCCTCCCCAGCAGGGGCAAGGAAGAGAGTCAGAACAGCAGTAGCAAGCTGTTTGGTCCCAGGAACAGATCCGTCCAACACCCATGTGGTCAGTCCCCTCCCTGGCTCAGGGCTCAAGTCACCAGACCCCTATATCATACATAAAGGCCATCAACACTGGCTTAGCTCAGCACCTCCCCAGAAGGGAGCTCACATCCGCTCAGAAGCACTTCCTTTCTGAAGGCAAAAGCTGCTCCTTCAGTTCCCCTGGCCCTTCTTCCTAATTTCTGGGGTCCCCTGACCTGAATCCCACTGGGTATACTCTGAGGAAACAGCATTTTTAGGCTTTATACAGAAACCTAGCAGTCATGGGAGCTTAAGTTTTAACGAGTCTGTTTTTTTATTTTTATCTTTAAAATCCATGCACAGCTGTTCTCCCTCCAGGGGGTGAGATGTAAGCAAACTTCTCAAAACCCTGCTCCGCCCACATGTGCTCTAAGCATGCTCAGTCCTGTCCGGCCAGGACTTGGCCTCCATTCCCTACATGCACAGGGAAAGGAAAGGTGAGACTCTGGGAAGAGAAGGAAGGTGCACACAAACCCTGAGGTCTGTAGCTCCAGGATGAAAGCCTTGTACCAAGTCATTTATAACCTTGGAATCATGAGCTGGCCAGGAGTGCAGAGGGCAGGAAAAGAAAGCAAGGTCTATTCTGATTTGAGTTTCATCAATAAAAAAGTGGTGCCCTTATGGATTCCTAGTTCCAAGGGTTTCTATTCTATCTTCAGCTAAGTTTAAGAGAAAAAAATTCCTCCTTGGCTAACTTACGCATGGAGCCACCTGAATATCCAACAAATGAGAATGAACAAAGGTAAAATTAGTCTATCATCTGGATAGAACATTATGTGAACATTAAAAACCGTCCTGTTTTAGTTCTTCTATAAGCATATATTGCTTTTTTAAATTTAGTGGTGAAACAAAATGGAAAAGAGCTAATGATTTAAGTAAAAAAGGATCAAACTTTTTACTATAATTACAACTACAAAACACAAAAACATACACACACACCAGTACATACGTTTACAAAATGGAGGAAATAAACCACAATGCTCATGGTATTGATCACCTCGTCTGCTCTGGTGCCCAGCACTGTAAGTATTCAGAAACTATTCACTGTTCTTGAATAAGTATTGCAATTAGGGATGAACTCATTTATTTTCCAAATTTTTGTAATGAAGATTATTTAACTTTCATAATGAAAAAAAAGTAAGTATATAAAAATAAGACTGATTTCACAACCCCAAAAGAGTAAGATAGGGGAAGGGGCTTTAATGTTGTTCATAGAAAAACATGCCAGATCTACAATAACTTACAGTTACAAACAGGAAAACCATGTCACTGAGACAAATTTGCAGTTACTAGGAGAAAAAGCATGGAATTCTCTTCCATGTGGAATGACAAAGCTGCTCTGTAACACTTTTAACGTTTTCGACGGCTCTGAAATTTGTAAATAGCTGGGGAGTTCACTGTTTCTTTCTTCACCTTCACCTTCTGTGTTTTATCCTACAAAAGAATAAAAAGGTTACCAGTAAACAGTGAGTGAGGGTTTTATAAAATCAGAAGATTAATAAACTACCTAGTAGAAAGCCTCTAATTCAGTCCTTCTCAAGTGAGGGAGAGACAAAGCCCTCACTGGCCAAAGGAACACCCGAATACAGTGAATCGGCTTCTCCCTCGGGCACTGTAGTGGTACTAGTGGGCAGAGGTTCTTGGGAAAACTGAGAAGGTCCTCAACATCTTTTGTAGGTATCACTCTCTCATGGAACCCTGATAATAAAGGCAAAACTAAACAATCTGCAAAGCTCAAGGATCTGACATTTAGGGGAATGATGATAATGTAAAAGGGGCATCTTATACTCCTTCGCTCTGCTATTTAACTACACAGTGCTATTTTTAAACACCAATGAGTGACATGCACTGTTTTGTTAACCTGTTTAAATGTTACAGATAGTTGCTCAGAAGCTACAAGTTCATGTGCTACCCGACCCTACCCTTTGATGTTCCAAAGCACTGACTAATAAGCCCTTATTACCTTCTTAATCAAGGAACATTTCAACACTGTCAAACTAACAAGACACTGGCTCAAACCACTGCCCCTCAGGAGCAGACATTTTCAGTGAGGTTGATTTACATGCAGCTGAAATCCAGTCTCGGTTAAGATCTTTACAAGGAAAAAAAATGAAGGCCTAAGGCTCTCTCTCCTCACCAGAAGATCTTTGCGGGTTTGAATTTTCTGAGCAATAACGAACAATTTCTTCTCACGCTCAATCCGCTGTGTCAGACAGTTATACTGTTTTTGCCTTTCTTTAGCTATCCGCTGTAGAATAAACACACAAACACATTTTCAATAAAAAAATTAACAGAATAAAATGAGCAAGCAGCTGTTTCTTAATCCACTTAAACCCAAAACCAGTTTCAACTCCCTCCTTACTCCAGAATCAACATAACAAAATACTATAAAGTTGTCCCTTTAAGAAACATCCTATTCTAGCTGAATGGAACCTTGGAGACTTGCCCAGGGACACATGGTTCACCTGGAGCAGTGTCAGGACTGCTCCTTGAGTCTCAGAGATCCCAATAATCTTTTCACTACTATACTAAGCTGCTCCAACCTTTGTGGGAACATCTCAAGTTACCTAAGGTGCTGCACGAACGAACCAGTCCTGGAAATCCTACACAAAGTGAACACAGAACAGAAAGGCCACTACACAATGTGCTGGTGTCTCAGAACCGCAGACGTCACAGTGGAAGGACTTTCCAGAAGAAGACCTGAGAATTCTGGTGACTGCTCGAAGGCCTTAAAATTTAGGGAATCCTAAACCTGAGAAACTGGTTAAGCTTTGGACTCTTTCTTGAAGTGTATTTGTGTTTTGTAGACATCTGTGCAAGCATATATGTCTACTTGCACAAAACACTGGCATGGGAAGAGGGTGTTCACAGGCTTCCTAAAGCCCATTCATAGACTGTCCACCCCCTCCAAGTTACAGACTAAAAACTCTCTTGCAATCCACCAACCAGCCATCTCTTAATAAAACTCACTTTGCTTTAAGCAATAGGAATGAAAAGAAACACCATCACCAGACAAAATGGCAAGATCCAAACCTTCCCAACCTCACAGAAGATATGCTGGTGAACTATTCCACACATGTGTTTGCAACACTAATCTCTTTAGGGACTACCACAATACTTGGGAAGTGATAGTGACACAGCTAATTGAAAATACAACTAATTGACAAACAGGGTTATCATGAGAACACTAGTCAGCCCGCTCCTCAGCTGGAAGTGTCATCCACAGAGAGGGGAATATTACTGGGCCTCAGACTTAAAACAATTCACTGATTCTAGCACAGTCTCACAGCAGTGGTTTCAGACAGCTTTTGTTTTCACTTTATTGCACAGACTGTCAAATTTATGGGATTACCCAATATAGTCAAACTAATTAGGGGTATTTATATTACTAAAGCAAGTTTAGCTGCCTCTGAGCTAGAGAAACTGCTGTGAAATTAAACATTGGAAGCAAAGCTGATGCAGTGTAAATGATTCAAATCAAAACAGAACAGCTGTCTGCTTGAAACACATTGACAGCATTTTTTTAAATGAATCAGTCAGAAGTGAGAGTTCAATTCCAGAAGGCTTTGAGAAAAAGCGTTGTCTTCTGCACAAACCAAGTTACAGTGATGGGAAGCACCACAAGGAAAAGTCAATACAAAACTTTGGTTACAAATGTGTAAATATGAGAAACTTTTTCAGTTCGTATTTGCTGCTAAAGGTTCACTACCAAAGTGTACCAAATCCTTTAACCTTCACTGTCCCCTCCTCTTTCTGCATCTTCTCTGCATTGGCATCTGTTACAGCATGAACGCACAACGCCAAAGGTCAGACGTGGGACTCAAATGCAGATCTAAATGCCCAACCTAAGCTCCTGAACACAGTATCACACATCCTCCTATCTCAGAAACCAAGGAACCCTCTTCCACTCCCATCCCCATCATCAAATGCTCCTTCCACTTTTCTAAGAGAACTTAAGTTTTCCATTAATAATTTTATTAAATGCAGTACAAAAAATTTTTTAAAAACAGGAACCTGGATTCACCTAAACTCAGACCTGAATAAAAACAGAGAAAATTACCTTAAGTGAAGTCTGATGGGTAACTCCTTTCACTTTCTCCTTCTGCAAAGTCTCTATCCTGGGTCTATTAAAGACTCTGTCGACTAGTTCCGGGGCTGTTTGCAGGTGAGTTGCAATATCAAACTGTTCAACTAAAAGTCAAGACAACCTTAAAGCACTGTGTCTCTAAAACCAAATAACGCAGACCAATATGCTAGATTGTCCCAGAAACCTTCAAACATTTCATACCTTCCTTTTTGGTGTCAAAAAAAAACACATGCTTATTCTGTTGCTTCCCCTGGAAATCCAGCAGATGGAGCTCTGATTTTAGTCTTTCAATTTTCTAGAATACAGAATACGGTCTCATTTGATACTGGGTTCTTCTAGTATATCAGAAATGAATGAAATGAATTTGCATAAATTTATACCATTTTACATGGTTATCACCAGCCAGCAAAGATTTAGCTTCATTCTTTTAAAGGAAAAGACCATGTAAGGTACTTGGCTAGGAATTACACAAAACTCATTTAATCCTTACAACAATCCTATGAGACAGAAATAAGGAAACAGCCTCAGGAGGTTAATTTGTCCATAATCCCAGAGGCTAATAAATGGCAGTCAGAATTCAAACCTAAGCCTGTCTCATTCCCAGACTTGAACCTTTCCACTCCACCACACTGACTATACTTCTAAACCATTATCACAATTAAGTATATTTTAAGATTGTAAATCCCAGAAGAAATCAACTGACAACTTGAGATAGAGTGATTTATGTATCTCTTCTTAACCAACAAAAATACATCAGAACAAAGAGCATCAATTGTTACCTTAGTTTCTGCAACCCTTTTCATTTCTATATATTTGACATCCTGAGTTCTTATCAGTTTCAGCTGTTCTGGAGTCACTTCTTCCTTTGTCTCCTTAATAACATGAACTCCATCCTAAAATCCAAATTTAAAAGATATATTCCTGGTTAGATTATAATCATGAGTAAATTGTTGGCATAGCTCATGGCTGGAACAAAGACCACAAAATGCTATTTGTAACAGCAGCCCAAGGCACTAGCCCCTGATGTGTATGTTCAAACTTAGCACCTCTGGGCATCTACTCTTGGACCAGCTCCAGGCACAAGACAACTCAAATTCGGGAGCAGAAATGCATGCTGCTCAGAAAGAGGCAGTTTTGCCTTGGATACTGACCCAGAATACGAGGACCAAGTGGAGCCATGGACCCTTACTCTCAATCTCTTCCCCCATCCTGATTGTTCTATTGAGTTGGAGCTCAAAACACCAACTGAGCCATTAGGTACCCACCTGGAGTTTAACCCGAGTCATTTTATAGTAGAATTCATCTGGATTTTTTTCAAGAGCCTTCTTCCGGAGAGCTCTGAGGTAGTCCTGCTTTTTCCGGTAGTCACTAAAGAGTGGGTTAAACAAGGTTCATAGCAAAACATAAAAATTAAAACCCCACAATGAGCAAACTTTACAAGCACTAAAGTTCATACAAAATGAAATTCAAAAAAGCCAAAGTAACAATGAGATTTGATCTGCACTCCACTGTCCCTGATGTTGAGCTCACATCTGTATCCCGTCCTCTCCTACTCCTCCTCTACTATCCCAATCGTACTTGAAATTAACTCCCCATCTCACCTGTTTCTGTGCTATTTATATGTATAGGGAGGCCAAACAAAACACAAATGAAAACTTTTCAGAGGTGTTCTGATATGAGCACAGGCACCAAGTGATCAAATAAGATGCAGAAATTACACAGTGCCGTACAGCATAATAATTAGAATAAAAATGGATTCTGGAGCCAGTGAGTTCAAACCTTGACTCTACCACTTCTAGCTGAGTAATCTTGGATAAAAGTTAACCACTGTGTAGTCCACTTTAATCTGTAAAAGAGGTATGATAATATTAGTATCCCAGAAGGTTGAGGTTGTCAGGAGGAATAAATGAGTGTAAAAACTATAAATCTCTTAGAGAACACTGCCTGGTCCAATAAGAGCACTCTGTTATTATTAGCCTAAAAAACTGTTGGACCCAGGGCAATCCACTTAATCTACCACTATTTATACCAGTAGCATAGAAAGGACCTCAGCTGTCAAGAGTGGTTAACAAATAATTAAAGTATTTCACAAATAAAGCGCTAAAGAAGAAGAATGGGGATAATTGTTTCATAAAATGCTTTCAGAGTTCATTATCACCCACGCTCAGTCACATGAATCCATCTCTTCATTCCACACCACACACATGGTGATTTAAGAGACTGGACAACTGGAATTTTAGATTATATCTTGCACTTCAAGAAAAGGGCAAGAAAAAGATTCAACTTTTGGCTCAAATACGCAGGGGGGTAAATCAAAGCGATTATGAGAGCAACACAGTAAAAAAAAATTCACAATGTAACTACAGCTAAAAAAATAGTATACTCTGCCTAAACAGAGAGAGATGTTTAGGATCACAGAAAAGTATCTGAGAGGCTGCTCGACTATGGCCATTTTATCAATGGCAGGAAATGATCCCTTGTTGGACACTCAGGCGATCCAGCTACCACGGAGGGAGGTCGTACGCTTTCTTGGCACCACCTCTGCCAGAAAGATTTAACTCACTCTGCACGGAGTTTGTAATCTTTCTTTTTCTCCAGCAGGCCCAGATGTTTTCGAAAGCTGGGCTGGAAGACAAAGGAAAAAAAAAGGTATTTAGTTTCCTCAGCAAACACATACTGAAATCAACATGACACTGACAGGAACAAGAGTCTCTAGAGTGCTTGGAGTGAGTGCTCAGTAAATCCATGTCCTTGGAGCCAACTTGCTATCCTGTTCCCTCTCCTCCCCCAGCTGGGCTCTGCCCAAGGATGAGAGGGACCATACAGCTCAAGAGAGGTCACAAGCACTGCCGTAACAGTTTCCTGGCCTATTAAGGACAGAGAGAGGCAACAATGACTCGGCACTAAGCAAGCAGTTGCCAGTTGTACTAAAATTACTACAGACTTAATCCAAGGGTTTATAAAATACTACGAAGGGAAAACAGTAACAGGGAGGCAACTGGTAAGGAAGCTAAATTTAGAGTCAGGAGAATTGGGTTCAAATCCAAGCTCTACCTCTTAACAATCTGTAACCTTGAGCAAGTCACTTCTCTGAGCTGCTATTTCCTAACTATAAAATGAGAATAATAATACCTACTTCTCATGGTTATCATGAGAATTTAATGAGCCTCTGTAAGTGGTGGCTCCTGCATCTGCCCAGCATATGTTCATTGTTACTATTCTACCTTTGGTACAAAGTATGAGGGAAAACTAAGCATGGCAGAAAATACTTTTCTCTGACACACAACTTAGATAATATGGAAGGTACAAGGAATACGTCATGTTATTATTTTTCTACAAGCTACTATTTGTGGAGCAGTTAATGTAAGTCACCGTCTGATGTGCACCCCTATGTTTATTGCAGCACTATTTACAATAGCCAAGATATGGAAGCAACCTAAGTGTCCATCAATAAATGGATAAAGAAGATGTTGTTCATACACACAATGGAATACTATTCAGCCATAAGAAAACAAATCCTACCATTTGCAACAACATGGATGGAGCTAGAAGGTATTATGCTCAGTGAAATAAGACAGGTGGAGAAAGGCAAGTACCAAATGATTTCCCTCATTTGTGGAGTATAACAAGGAAGCAAAACTGAAGGAACAAAACAGCAGCAGATTCAGACTCCAAGGGACTAGGGAGAGGGGTAGGGGGTGGGGAGGAGAGAGAAAGGGATTGAGGGGTATTATGATCAGTACACATGGTGTGGTGGGGTCACAGGGAAGACAGACTCTGCCAGAAAGATTTAACTCACTCTGCACGGAGTTTGTAATCTTTCTTTTTCTCCAGCAGGCCCAGATGTTTTCGAAAGCTGGGCTGGAAGACAAAGGAAAAAAAAAGGTATTTAGTTTCCTCAGCAAACACATACTGAAATCAACATGACACTGACAGGAACAAGAGTCTCTAGAGTGCTTGGAGTGAGTGCTCAGTAAATCCATGTCCTTGGAGCCAACTTGCTATCCTGTTCCCTCTCCTCCCCCAGCTGGGCTCTGCCCAAGGATGAGAGGGACCATACAGCTCAAGAGAGGTCACAAGCACTGCCGTAACAGTTTCCTGGCCTATTAAGGACAGAGAGAGGCAACAATGACTCGGCACTAAGCAAGCAGTTGCCAGTTGTACTAAAATTACTACAGACTTAATCCAAGGGTTTATAAAATACTACGAAGGGAAAACAGTAACAGGGAGGCAACTGGTAAGGAAGCTAAATTTAGAGTCAGGAGAATTGGGTTCAAATCCAAGCTCTACCTCTTAACAATCTGTAACCTTGAGCAAGTCACTTCTCTGAGCTGCTATTTCCTAACTATAAAATGAGAATAATAATACCTACTTCTCATGGTTATCATGAGAATTTAATGAGCCTCTGTAAGTGGTGGCTCCTGCATCTGCCCAGCATATGTTCATTGTTACTATTCTACCTTTGGTACAAAGTATGAGGGAAAACTAAGCATGGCAGAAAATACTTTTCTCTGACACACAACTTAGATAATATGGAAGGTACAAGGAATACGTCATGTTATTATTTTTCTACAAGCTACTATTTGTGGAGCAGTTAATGTAAGTCACCGTCTGATGTGCACCCCTATGTTTATTGCAGCACTATTTACAATAGCCAAGATATGGAAGCAACCTAAGTGTCCATCAATAAATGGATAAAGAAGATGTTGTTCATACACACAATGGAATACTATTCAGCCATAAGAAAACAAATCCTACCATTTGCAACAACATGGATGGAGCTAGAAGGTATTATGCTCAGTGAAATAAGACAGGTGGAGAAAGGCAAGTACCAAATGATTTCCCTCATTTGTGGAGTATAACAAGGAAGCAAAACTGAAGGAACAAAACAGCAGCAGATTCAGACTCCAAGGGACTAGGGAGAGGGGTAGGGGGTGGGGAGGAGAGAGAAAGGGATTGAGGGGTATTATGATCAGTACACATGGTGTGGTGGGGTCACAGGGAAGACAGAGTAGCACAGAGAAGACAGGTAGTGACTCTGTGGCATCTTACTACACTGATGGACAGTGACTTCACTGGGGTATGGGAAGGACTCGATAATATGGGTGAATGTAGTAACCACAATGTTTTTCATGTGAAACCTTCATGAAAGTGTGTATCAATGATACCTTAATAAAAAAATAAAATAAAAAAACCCTGAATCCAATCCAAAAATATATATATATATATAAAAGTGAGGGTCTGTGCTAAATGCTTTTGTTTACATCATAATAGGCCATATTTGTTAAGCACTTACTCTGTTACAAAGCAGTCTGCTATGCTTGTTACATACAATCTCATTTAATCCCCACAGCTATCAAGGAATGTAAGGTAAAGCAGACACTATTGTTATCCCAATTTTCCAGAAGGGGAAAGAGGTTTAGGAAATGACATGCCCCAGAACACAGAACTAATAAGTGGCAAAGCTAAACTAGATAATTCTACCTGGTAGCACAGTCTGTGCTCTTGCCTACCCCACAGAACTGTATCCTCTTCTGCTCTGAGTAATCTCAATTTTTGAGGAAGTACATACACTTCTCTATTGTTTAAACTTGTATAATAACTTGGGCTTTTTAACAGTCACCTTTTTCATCTCTGAAGTGATGCAATAAAAACTCAGTATTTAAAATAGTGCCCAAAACCTCTCCTGAAAATTTTTATTTTAATTATTGTAGACAAAGGGAGTTTAACAGAGTGGAGAAAGAAAATTCGAGGGCCAAAAGAGCAGCAACGTGAGGCAGAAATCTTGAAACCTGTCATGTCCACTTGAATCTCCATCTGTCCATCCATGCCAAAGAAATCTGACATTGCATCTGAAATAGTCCACATAATTATACATACTCCCTCCATACAAAATACCTTCAATAGCTCCCCTGCTGCTTCAGAAAAGGACCTAGAGGATAAAGCCCAAACTTGGCCCAGATAAGGAGTACTCTCATCAATGTGTTTATCCACCTTTCCAGCATGGCCTTCTCCTCACCTCTCCACAAACACCCTTTATTACTAATCTGCCATGGCCATGTCATGTTCATGGCCAGCCTTGAAAGCCCTCTGTCTTCTCTGCTCATCCAAATGAGCTACTTAAAACCTTGATTTGGACACACTATTCAATCTCTTTAAGCATCAGCTTCCTCACTTCTAAAACAGGGATAACATCCACCTCATAGGGATGCTGTAGGATAATATGAGACGATCCCTGTACACTGCATTGGGCTGTACCTAGCATACAGCTCAAAAAGTTTGACAGCCATTACCATAGCTTTCTCTCATGATCTCTAATCTTTTCATTCAAATTTGTGATTTGGCATCTTTTATGTGCCATCTCTTATAAAACTGTCTCTTTATTCGTCTTTAAGTAGCCTCTGGATTCAAAACACTTGGTCTGACTTCTGACTTTGCTGCTTGCCAGCTACAGCTGTATGTCTTTTGGCAAATTACTTATATCTGAGCCTTAGTTTCCCCATCTGCAAATATGAGAAAATAATGGTACCTACTTCCACACACTGTTCAGAGTGTAAAGCATTTTGCACTTTGTCTACCTCTAACACAGCAAGAACAACTAGGTAATTATTACATTTAGATAGGTCCACACAGAGATCCAAACAAGGTGACAAGTTACACTATTGCTCCCAGCACACCACTGAGCACACAGCAAGCGCACAATTAAATGTCTGATAAGTACTATTAAGCAGGAAGACTGAACTGTAGTTAAGAGGCCTTAGTTCCATCAATCAGCAACATATCTTTAGATGCATTTTTCTCCCTCTCCTACCCATCTGTGAAATTAAGTTGAACCTAGTATCTCTAAGGGGCTTTCTGGATTAGACAGTATGTGATTCCTGAGAGCAGAATGATGGATAAATTGATTCTGCATATATTAAACCAATTTTACCCAACCTCCCCACGCAGACACCCTCCAGAGAAATCCTACAACTGTTTATTCCACCTGAGTTTGTTTGTGACTCAGCAAGTCACTGTCACTCTCTAGGCCTCGGTTTCCTCACATGTTCAATGAGGATGAAAAACACCAACATTACAGGGTGAGACATAAACAAAAGCCTATGTAGCAGACCTCCATGGATCACAAAGCGTACAGATGATAACACCACATCAATAACATCTGTTCACTCACAGCCCCCATGCGCTGTGGGCATTGCGCATCTTTAGATATGGGTTCCAGTTCCAGCCGGGGCACTTAATGGCTGTGTGAACTTTGACCTCAACTTCCTCAGAGAAGGTCAAGCACTTCACCCAGTGTCTCGTTTTACTTACCCCACTGAAACCTTGAAAGATAACTGATTATCTTTAAGGACCTGGGGTAGCCCGCACTCTTCTTGGAACCACTCCCTCCTCCCCAAGCGCGAGGCTCCGCCCATCCACGACGACATCGTTAGCATCTATTTGCATGCAGGAGCGCCACTCGAGGGGACTAGGACCAGCAGGTGGAGAGGGGGTTGGTGGGAAAGGAGCACATGGAGCACGAGCCAGTGCGGTCGTACCTGGCTTCGCTCTCTGTGTTCGCGCTGCCGGGACTTAGCGGCCTTCCGGAAAGCCGCCGCCATGTCTGCTCCCGCCTGAGAAAAGCTCCGCAGACAGGCCCAGCTCCGCACCGCCTCGGCTGCCGCTTCCACTGATCCTATCGGAAGCAGGCCAAGCCGCCGGAGACCTAGAACCGCCCAATTCCTCTCTGCAGCCTATCCGGTGCCGGTCTTTACGGAAATACGCATTCTGCCTCCGACGTCCACCAAAGGCTACTTCTGGGAAGTGTAGTTCCCTGGGTCTAGTTTCGTGAGTGCAAGAGCCTGTTCTTACTCGCCAGAGCTTGAACACGTGTATCGAGATCTGGCCTTCGCGCTCGGCTCTGCGTTGGCACCTGGGAACACGTGGCTGGCACTGCCCTCCGGTTGTGCTGGGCTTGGAGTATGCGCATGCGCATTCACCTACCGCTCACATGCTTGCCCTGTTTTTGCGGTGCTCTTAAAGCTTAGGAGTCCTGTGAATTTTATGGTGTACCAGAAAGTCCACCCTATAGAGAAACAAGAGAACTTAACACCATGTCTGTCTCTGCCACTTACTGACTTTTGACAGGTCACTTGATTTTAATGAGCATCACTTTACTCATGCATAAAACAAGGATAATAATAGCATGCACTGCTTGCCTCATAGGGCAGTCAAAGGGCTCACAGTTGAATGGAGGACGCAGTAGTTACAAGGTTCTGAGTCCATCACACCCTCAAGAGAATGGCTGATTGACAGAATGAGTGTCAGAGACAGTATAACACAATGATTAGGACCATAAACTATGGAGGTGTGCTCTGATCCTAACTGCTAGCAACCAAGACAAAGTTAGCTTCACTGAATCTCAGTCTCCCCTTCTGTAAAATGGGGGTAATAATACTATACCCACAGGATTGTTGTGAGGATTAATGATGTTTACAGAGCATAATGGTGTGTTTACTTCTTAGCAAGTTCACAATCAATTGAGGCTTTTATTCTTATTATTACTAAACCTACGTGTAAGGATTCAGAGAGGTTTGGGCACAACAGAGCATTCCAGAGGCATTTGGTTTCACCTTCACCACATGAAGCTAACTTTCAATGAGTTCTGTAAGTGGACTCATTTCTCATGACAGGGCTCACCCCTCCAGCTGAGGCCCTGAGTAAATACTCAGTCCCCAGGAGTGTAAGTCCAGTTGACCATGAAAAAGCTGAAAGTAGCTGAGATTTGCCATGTAAAAAGTTTTTTCTTGCCTCTGAGTGTGAGCCTTGCCCATCTAGGGCCACATGCATTAACAAATGCCCATCTCGTTTGTTACTTAACCATTGAGAGACAAGGCCATTCATGATCTGGCCCATGCCCACCTTTCCAGCCTCATCTTAAGAAGCCTAGCCATCAGGCAGAATGACAAGGTGGGGGCCCCAATCACTCCTGCCACTTCCCCTGAGGAAGGCATTGAATGATGGCATAGCCCAGAGGAGGCAGCTCTGCACACTGGAAGGCGGGACCCAGGAGTCAGCCACAGATTTAAATTGCACATCTACCACCTAGCAGCTTGTGATTTGAGGCCACATTGTCAAACTCTCTGAGCCCTGTGTCCTCCCCTACCTTGTGTAAAATAGTTATAATAATAAATACCACCTCATGGCTTTTGTGAGAACTGAAAGAGGTAGTGACTAGCAGTTAGCATGGTGCCCTGCATGTAGTCGGCACTTAACCATATGTGTGTTCTCCCTGTACCCTTCCTCTAATACTCTGCAGAACTCACTTATTTCACCCTCTGCACCCACAGACCCATTGCCAATCTTGGGGTCATAAGGAAAGTGCTTCTGGGCAATCTGAAAGAGGGTGTCTGATAAACCATGATGCCTGTTGGGCATCAGGCAGCACAACGGGTAAGAGTGAGCAATACACCCAGAGAAAGAGGGAAGTTTTCTCGCTGGGGGAAGGAGGGCTGGTGGGTACAAGCATCAGAGACTGTGTGATTCAGCACTATGAGGAAACCATGAGCAGCCTATCAGTCATCACCCAGGGCCTCCTGCTGAAAACCCTTTCAAAGCAAGAGAATAACTGGGAGACCCTGAGCGAGCCCCCTTGCACCACAAGACAAAGAAGGGTATATGGGGACTTCTTGGGTGAGTGAAGGGATAAGCAGATCCTATCACCCAAGGCTAGTCATCCAGCCCTCAGGCTCTGCTCCCAGCCCTAGCTCAGACACACCTGTTCCCCAGAAAGGGGGGAACAGGAACAGGGAGTCCATGTAGTTGATCCCTAGACGTCCCTGGGGCACGTCCCTGGGCCAATGGAAATAGAGAGGAGGGAAACGTGAGCCCACTGGGGAGCTGGAAGTGGGAAGAGGAAAGGACGCAGCCCCAGCCCTACACCAGTCTCCTTCCCCCAGGCTGGGCCAATTCAGAAGCCACCTAACTTTCTCTGGTCTCCAGACTCCCAGAGCAAGCAGTAGAACCTTAACACTTGACCATGAAAGGGAGTGTTGGAGAGTGGAAGGAAGTCTCACATATTTAATACTTATTGTGTGCTCTCAACCAATCCTTACAAGAATTCTGTGAGACAGGTCTTCAGCCACTCTTAACAGATGAGGAGACTGAGGCTTAAACAGATTGAATAACTACAGAATCTGTGAGCCTGACAGTTAAGCTCTTTTCTTGGCATAAGGAGCTTTGACATTTGATTGCCTGGATTTGAATCCAGGCTTTGCTATTATTAGCTCTGTCACCTTTGGCAGGTTACTTACTCTCTCTGCCTCCATTTCCTCGTCCTTAAAACAAGGATGAAAATAAATTTTTCATAAAGTTGTTGGAGAAGACAAGTAGTGATTCTACACCATCTTATTATGCTGATGGACAGTGACTGTGAAGGGGTATGTGGCGGGGGACTTGATGAAGGGGGGAGCCTAGTAAACATAATGTTCTTCATGTAATTGTAGATTAACGATAACAAAATTTAAAAAAATACTGAAAAAAAGAAGTTGTTGGATAATCAAGTGCACTAATATATGTAAAGTGCTTAGAAAGGAACTGGTACAATATTTCAGGAAATATTGGCTTCTATTATGGCTGTGAAGAGAATCTATGAAGAGATTCAAGCCATGAGTAAAAGCCAGAGACCCCAGCTCTACCTTCGATCCAGCACCTTCCTCACTCACTCATAATCCCTCCCATTCTGAAGGCTGTGTACCTTTGCCCTTCCCTCACCCCCAAGCAGACCCCCTTCTTGCCATCTACTCCAACCAGACAGATTCTTCCCTGCACTCCCCAAAGTTAGGGGAACAATCTCCAACACCTGCAAGATAGAGAAAGGACCCTCCCATGGGCTGTCTGCTCACTCCTTGGACTCCAGATGCAGGTGCCTATAGACTAAACTGGGAGATGAGGGTCCAGATCGAAGCAGTGCCTGTCATTCATTTATTCATCAGATATGTATGATATGCCAGACATTGGAGTAGGTACTGGGAATGTGGTAGTGAACAATTTGATTATCTGGATTTGAATCCAGGTAGTGAGCCAATCCCTGCCCTCATGGGGCTTATAGTTTAGGTATCAAGAACAACAATAATAAACAAACAATTAATTAATTTGGAAAAGAAAGTCTCAAGGGTGACTTCCAAAGACAAGAAGGCATGTGATTTAGAGATGGGAAAGGAGGGTAACTCAGGAGCCCCATCCTGGGAGGAAAAGAGTCTCTTCTCTGAGAACCCAGCTGCACTCAGCTGGGGGAGGGGGGAGGGATAGGAGTGCCTCTTTGGGCACCTGAAACTACTCTAGACACTGAGCTTATTTCCAGGGTTGGTTTGTTGTCTCTTGTTTTGCAAACCACATAGCGGAGCCTCCTCCTCCCTCCCCCGCCCTTCCAGATTGAAGCTATTTATTCCTAGTGACAAGCCTGAGGATCCCATGGGGGGTGGCCTCAAAGACCTGGAGGGGCCTTGTGTCCCTGGCAGGCGCCAGTCCTCCCTCCCTGGCACAAAGAGGAAGCCAGAGGGTGGGAAACTGTGGAGGTGGGGGAGGAGGGGTTCCCTTCACTTCCACCCACCACCCCAGCAGCAGCCCACCCATGCACACTTCTCACACCCTTCCCTGAGAAGCTGAAAATTCATGGGGCCAAGGATTAGGGTCTTCCCTGGGTCTCAAAGGTCAAAACTATTCCTGGGCACTGAACAGAGGCAGGACTTCTCTGTCCTAGGAAGCAGCACCCAGAGGTGAGGAGGTGGCTACTTCTGTTTTTGCCACCTAGAGTTGTGGAATAAAGCCGTTTGAAGGTCAAGGCCCTATGGCGGAGGTGGGGGTGGGGAGGAGGAATCCTCTCCTTACCCCATGTTTCCAGAGAACACCTTGGTCCCCACGGACAAGGCCATGACAGATTAAAGTCTCTTTTACAAACTGGGGCTGTGTGACCCCGGCAGGTAAACTGGGAGGGACAGGTGGGCTCCTGGTCCCCAAATGGACCTTGGTCAGCTGGGTGCTGTACCCGTTGCCTAAGTTAAATACAGCGATCTCCCACTAGCAGCTGGGGGGAGACAAGGAGGGGGGCAAAGAAAGAGGACAGCAAAACCTTTAGGGAGGGGACAGGGGCGGGGTCTTGGCCGCCCACTGAGGTTGGGAGAGCCAGGCTGGGCTGGGCCGGAGTCGGGGGTCTGAGGCGGGCTCAGTCGGAAAGGTAGGTGGGGATGCGGGGCCGGAGGCGGGGTCCGCACCCGGCGGGCAGGGGCGGCCGGGGGCGGGGTCCGGGCGGGGCGGGCCGCGGCTCTCACTTCCTCCGGGAGGGGTTGGGGCCGCGCTCGCCCTCGCCCACGCAGTCCGCCCGCGGCCGGCAGCCTCGCCGGCAGCTCGCTCCGCCCGGCTGGGCCCGGCCGGCAGGTAGGAGCCGCCGAGGGAAGCGCTCCGGCGTCCCCGCCCCACCCGCGCGAGGGCCGCGCCCGCTCCCGCCGCCAGCGTCGAGGTGAGCTCCCCGCCGAACCCGGCTCCGAATACTGGCTCCCGGCCCCAGCGTCGGGCCGGAGAAGGAGCGGAGGCTGCTCCCGCCCCCGTCCCCCGCCTGGTGCGTCCGCGGGCGCTCGGGCCACGCTCGCAACGGGCGGCACGAGGGCGCTGAGCCCGCAGGGCGCCTCGCGGACCGCTGCGCGCCCGGCCGCGCGGCGGGGCACGGGCTGCTGCGAGAGGTGGGCGGGGGAAGGGGCCAAGTTTGAAACGCGAAAGCCTGAGAGACCCCAGAAGGGTTCAAGAAATTGAGGCTCTCAGAAAGCCAGGCAGAGCGAGAGACCGAGACTGGGACGTGAGCGACACACTCAGGAGGCTGCGGACGTACCCGAAGCAGGGGCAGAGACTTGGACGTAGAGTCACTTAGAGACCAACTCGAGACATAAGACCCAGGTTTGTGGAGCGGAACATTTTAAGAAAAAGCATACAGTGACCTCAGTGAACACGTTGTAGAGCCCTTCCTCGGGCACTGCTGGGTCCTGGGCAGGTGAGGAGCCCTGAAGCCTAAGCTTTGTTAGCCTCGTAGTAAATCAGACAGCCTCTGTGAGGCCTAGAGACAGCCACCCAGAGACTGGAGACCGAGACACTCAGGCATACAGAGATGTAGGAAATAGAGAAGGGAAGAAAGGTGGGGACCAAGACATTCTGCCCCATGGAGACGGAGGGACCAGACTTGGGTGTACAGAGGTAGAATCCACAGAGGCAGCTGGCTGAGAGATGGGTAGTCAGAGAGAAAGATACCGAAAATGTAAAGACTGCTGCTGAAGTGTGCAGAGACCCAGAGACATGCCCAAGGGGCACAGAGCTAGACTCAGAGAGACTGGGATTTAATGGAAGCACATTGACAGCTTCCAAGACAGACCCTGAGAAAGTCAGTACAAAAGATTGGGAAGCAAGGATGTGGGGAGACAGAAACTCTGGGCCAGCTGAGTCCCCATGAAGCTGGGAACCTGAGAGAGTAAGATTGACATCAAGAGGGAGCCCCAAGCATACACCAAGACAGCCCCAACTTATTTTTAAACTCAAATCTTGGACACTGCTTCACCCCTGGGGAACCTAGAGTGGATGAACTGTTCCTCTCCTGTCCCCAGAGCAGCTGCTGGATCCTGCTTCCCACCCCCTTAGCCTAAACTGCTCTGACTCCCAGGCCCCATGGGGGAGGGGAGGGGAGCCCAGCTGAGAACTTGGGGTTATTGCCTGGTGGTGTGGGTGGAGAGGTCAATTTCTCCCCTTAAGCCTCCTCTTAAGTCGTGTCAATTCTTGGTGGCCAGAGGAAGGGTCTGTTCTGATCCTGACTCATAGCTGTGAGGCCTGGCTGTGGTCCTCCTGGACAGAGGGATGGAGGGGGGCAAAAGGGTTGAGTGATTGGCATGGGTGATTGGACAGCCTTCTGGGTGTCTTCCAATCAGGGCTGGTAACCAGGGAGAGAGCCAGGTCCTATACTGGTGCTGTCAACCCAGCATATCTCTGTCCCTCTGCTCTTAAAGGCTGCCCACCCCCTCCCACCACTGCAGCATTTCTAGAGAATGAAACAGAAAAGAATTTCAGGCTGGGAAGCAGGAGAACTGGGCTTTCTGAGACCTGAGTGACCTTGGCCACGCCCTTGTGCTGTCCCTGGCCTCTGCTCAGCTGTAAAATGGGGATGATTCCCTATCCTGCCTGCCTTGAGATGGTGGATGGGAATGCATTTTGTGAGAGGCAAAGCAGCACGCATATGTGTGTACACCAGTGTACCTGCGTGAGGGGGTCTCAGAGTTATGTTCTCTGACGTCAGGCTGGCCCCACTGGTCTCCTCAGTGAGCCGCAGGCCTGGACCTCTTGGGTTCCCCCAGAAGTATGGGTTCCCTCTGTATTCTCTCCTGGGCCTACACTGAGAATGTCCGGGTTAAAACCTCAGCCAGCTCTCTGACCCAGGCCTGGTGGAGAAACTTGTCTAATCCATAGTAAGAGTGAGGGGCTAATAAGAAAAATACTAATGGCTGTTACTGACTGACCACTTACTCTCTGCCAGGTGCTTTCCAAGTATCATCATATTTAAGCCTGGCAACCACCCCAAGAGATAGGAGGTAGTATTAGATGGAAAAACAGGCCTGGGGCACTTAAGTGACTTGCCCAAGATCACCCAGCTAGTAAGTGAAGAAGGTAGAATTCAAACCCAGGTTTATATTTCACAACTGCAGCCCCTACACACCACCTGCCTCAGCCATTCAGTCAGCTGTACTGAACTGGTTCACTGGGAGGTGCCAGATGTGTGTGTGGGGGGGAAGGGGGATCAGGTGTAGGGATGGGGTGTATGTGTGTGTGTGTGTGTGTGTTGGTGGGGGCAGAAGCGGGAAGCCATCTGGCAGACTGAGCAGTCTTTCTTGCACACCCCTCCCCCCCACAACCAGCCATGAAGGAATACAAAACTGGCTTCGTTCAGTCCCCAAGCCCTGCCAGGGAAAGGGAGAGGGAGGGAGAAAGGAGGGGATGGGCAGAGACAGGTGGGCCTTGATAGTGCCCTTCACTCTGTCCTCACTAGAGCCCAGCTGAACAGACCAGAGCACTAGGGAATTCTGGGAAGAAAACAGAAGCCACACCCATACCCTGTTTGGGGTGCCCCTGTCTCAGAGTGGCGACTGCCTCCCAGGGGGTGGGCCCAGGGCTAGCCTGGGCCTGGGAAGGTGGCAGCTGCTGCGAGCCACACCTGGAAGGAAGGAAAAGCCCAGGGCACTCCCGGAGGATGGCCACTCTCCCACCTGTGTGGCCGCCTGCTGCCCAGTGGCTGACAGCCCAGGCAACCCTCAGATGTTGGGCCAGAAGAAACCCTGGCCTGAGTGGCAGGGAGTGGACTGAGAGGAGGGGGACCCTCCACCCTACAGCATAGCCCCTACCCCAGAAGTCCCCTTTCTGAAGACCCCAGCTCCCAGTGGCCTCGTGCCCTGGCCTGGAGGATGAACTGAGTGTCTTCCCTTTATACAGAAGGACAGTTGTGAGTTCATGAGCCATCTCTTCAGAAGAGCCAGGCCCTCCAGGCTTGGGGCATCTGCTGGCGCCCGGAGTCTGAACTCCAAGCCAGAGCAATGCTTGTTGGCGAGAATTTCTCACTGGGGGTGGCTGAGAAAAGGAGGGCTTTTTTCTTCAACTAGAGCCAGGGCAGGCTCTGGGGACTGCCAGGTACTGTGGTTGAATGGGGAGCAGGAAGTGGGTTGATGGGTTCCTTTGTACTCTCCAGGCTCATCCTGCAGCTGTGAGGACATGGTCCCTTTCCTATGGGTCCTGGTGGTTCATCTCCACCCGCCTTGGGACCCCGGCCCTTAGAAGCAGGCTTCATGGTGGAGGAGGCTGGGGGTGGCAGCTCAAATTTGGGGCTAGAGACTGGAATCAGGGGCAGCAGAAGAGACTAGGAACCCCACTTTGTTACCGCCCCCCCACTCCCCACGCTCCTGTTCCAGAGGCAGCTGTGTGGATGACCTCATCCCACAAACATGCTTTGTTCCTGAGAAAATGGAAAGTGTCTGAGGTTTGGTGGGGGGCAGGGTGTCTGCAGCAGCAGCTCTCAGGGCTCCCCCTTGCCTGGCTCCCCACCCAAGAGGGGGCCTGATTAGGGAGAAAATGTCTGCTGTGTCTTCCACTCTCACCCTTCACTCCCCCTGCCCCAAACCTTTAGAAATTGAAAACGTGGGAAGAGGCTGTCTCTCCCAGAGGCAGGGAGAGGGGAAGTAATGACCTAGGGGATAGGGAGATCTGGGGCTTTGCCAGGGTCTGCCAGGAGTGTGCCTGCTGGAGATGGCAGGGGCACACTGCACACTCTCTGCCTCGGTTCCCCTCCCACTCCAGGTGTTTCATTTCCCTGTTTTCTTCCCTGCTGCTGGCAAACCTGACTTCTGGCCATCTGTGCTGCCACAGCTGTTACAGATGTTGCAGGCCAAGGCTGCCCAGGCTGGTGTGACCAAAGACCCAGCAGGGGCTAGAAGGGGAAGAGGGCAGAGGGTTCAGATGGGGAAGTTTGGCTGTGTCCAGCTTACAGGATTTCCTTCCTGCTTAAACCTAAGCCGAGCCTCTGAAGTCCTTGTCCCTGGGCCGATTGTCCTGGGAGGGGAGGCCCGATGTGACTTCTCCACCTCCACCATTCATTGCCCAGCATCCTTCTAACATTCCACTGTTTCCTGGATCGGGAGGAGGGGGGAAGGAACAGCCCATTCTTATCCCTAAGCTTCCCACTCTGGGTAGAGGTTCCTTTACCTACATTCCTATGGTCCCTTCCTGGGAGTCAGGAGAGGGTGGAGTGCTGTTCATAAGGGGTAGGGTGAGGAAGCTCCCTGCCCCTGCACTTAACCCCTTGAGGACAGTGGGGACAGTGGAGGCTAAACTCCGGCTGGGGCAGGAAATGAGTCACTGACCCAGGAAAAGCCCCCTCCCCCCAGATCTGCCAGGGCCCAGATAAGAAAACAACTGCTTCCTGATCCCCTTCCACCCTACCATTAAATACAGAAATAAACATGCAAGACTCCTGAGTTCCCAGAAACACCCTTTCCCCATCACCACCTGCTCTGACCTGGCCATTTCCTACACCTGGTCTCCTGATTTTTTTGAATGCAAGGGGCTAAGCCATAGCTCCTCTGGGTGATCCTCACCCCACCTTTTGCCCCTGACAGGGCTCCCTCACAGCCACCATGAGTGAGGCCTTCGACTGTGCAAAATGCAGCGAGTCCCTGTATGGCCGTAAATACATCCAGACGGACAACGGCCCCTACTGCGTGCCCTGTTACGACAACACCTTTGCCAACACCTGTGCTGAGTGCCAGCAGCTTATTGGGCACGACTCAAGGGTAAGGACCAGAGCAGAAGGGGTAGGGAGTTAGGGGAGGCTGGTAAGAGGGAACAGAGGTGCCAGTGCCAGTGCCCCTGCCGTGTTCCCCCCAGGAGCTGTTCTATGAAGACCGCCACTTCCATGAGGGCTGTTTTCGCTGTTGTCGCTGCCAGCGCTCCCTGGCCGATGAGCCCTTCACTTGCCAGGACAGCGAGCTGCTCTGCAATGACTGCTACTGCAGTGCCTTCTCTTCACAGTGCTCCGCCTGTGGGGAGACTGTCATGCCTGGTATGTTCTCCAGAGCTCAGTGTATGTGCCTGGCATCTGTGTAAGGTTCGTGCATGTACAAGGGATTGGTATGCTTGTCTGATACACACACACAGAGGCTTGGTAGAAAAAGGTCCTGCACACATAGCATGTCCCTGGAAATGTAGTGTATGCAGGAGGATCTCATGCCTGTATGCTCTTGGGAGCTTTGCACACCAAGGTATAAAGGAACTGGCATGCCCAGGTATACACATGAAAGCATGTTCAGGAACTGACAAGCTTGTCGTATTCCTGCAGGTCTAGTGTGTGCTGGACCAGTAGGCCTGGTATACACCTGTGGGCTTACCATGTACAGGCTGACTGACATGCTTGATAAACATGTAGGAGCTTCACATGTATGAAGGTCTGCATGTAGAAGGTACATGTCGAAGCTAAGAATATGCTAAGATGCTTCGTGCATTGGGACGTGGTGTGTCCAGAGAGAGACAGTGTTATTAGACCTGCATGTCTAATAGATACATGAGGACTTAGAACACATGGGAAATGGCATGATTACGATATACAAGGGCCTGGCATGTACTGAATCTCATGTCTAGGGCATCAGAACTTTGGGTAGGAAGAGACTTGCTTGCCTGATACACATGGTGTCTTTGTGTATGTGCTTCAACCATGATATCTGGTGTTTAAGGGCTTAGCATATACTGAGTTGTCATGGCTGTGTCATGGAGGCCTGCTGTGTACTGAGATGGTCACATCTGGCACCTATGGGGACTTCATATATGTCAAACCCTCATCTTTAGTTTATAGGGTGCAAGCCAGCATGTACAGGGTTTGGGAGAGATCAGCATGTACAGTATGCATCGTGGTCCTGCTGCACATGCATGGATACCACCTGCTTAGGCTATGGGAGCATCAGGACTCTCCTTGGAGGGAATCCACAGGTGGCACTTGAGACAGCCTCTGAATGGGACCCATTCCCTACAGGGTCCCGGAAGCTGGAGTACGGAGGCCAGACATGGCATGAGCACTGCTTCCTGTGCAGTGGCTGTGAGCAGCCACTGGGCTCCCGTTCCTTTGTGCCTGACAAGGGTGCTCACTACTGCGTGCCCTGCTATGAGAACAAGTTTGCGCCTCGCTGTGCCCGCTGCAGCAAGGTGGGCTCTGGGCCAGCAGGGTGGGGGCTCTAATCTCCACCACACTCATGGATGGGAGCAGGGCTCTGTTATGGGGTGGAATCCCCACTCCCTCCTGCTGACAGATGCTGCCCCCACAGACGCTGACACAGGGTGGCGTGACATACCGTGACCAGCCCTGGCATCGAGAATGCCTAGTCTGTACTGGGTGCCAGACGCCCCTGGCAGGGCAGCAGTTTACCTCCCGGGATGAGGATCCCTACTGTGTGGCCTGTTTTGGAGAACTCTTTGCACCCAAATGCAGCAGCTGCAAGCGCCCCATCACAGGTGGGACAAGGGTCAAAGATCAGAGTGGATAGGGTGCAGGCAGGGGAATGGGATCTGGTATTGGGTGAGGCTGTGGGACAGGACCACCCTCTGTATCTGCAGAGCTAACCTCTGGCCTCCCTCCAGGACTCGGTGGAGGCAAGTATGTGTCCTTTGAAGACCGCCACTGGCACCACAGCTGCTTCTCCTGTGCCCGCTGTTCCACCTCCCTGGTGGGCCAAGGTTTTGTGCCAGATGGAGACCAAGTGCTATGTCAGGGCTGCAGCCAGGCAGGGCCCTGAGCCAGGGCTCCTGGGCCCAGGAGCTCCCAAATCAGGCTTCCAGGACTGAGGCTCCTTCACACCACCTCTGAGGCCCAGCCGCTCCCCAAACAGGGGTTCCCCTGGGCTCCATGATTCAGCCTCCCTACTCCAGCATCCCTGAAACAGTACTCCCTGGGCTCTTAGGGAGCCTCCATCATTCTAATCCCCTCCCCAGACCTGGACTCCAGAACTTAGCCCTCTCCCTTACAGCCTGTGTTCTAGACCCCAGCCCTCCATCCTGGGCTCTAGGAACCCAAGCCCCCTTCAATCTAGACTTCTCCAGAGACTTGAGGTCTCCTCTGGGTGCCAGAGAAGTCCTCAGAAGTGGACTATACTCAGGCTTGACCATCCCCATCTCAGCCTAGTCCCCAGGGCTGGGGGCTGTCTGAGCAGCAGGGGTCCTAGGGTACGGGGTTTTGCATAGCCCTTGTCTGTCGAGTGAGTTCTCATTTCAGTTCAGTTCCATTTTGCCCAGATGGGCCAAGGGGTGGGATTGGCTCTCTCCCCTTCCAGATTCCTCAATAAAGCAGTGTGAGGAAGAGGTCTCTGTGTTTCTGTCTGGGGATGAAGGGTGCCTTCGCAAAAGGAGGCTCGGGCTCTTCCGGACCCCCTCTGTAGAGGGCAGACGGGGAAGCTGCCGGCCGCGGGGTGAGGAATGACCCGTGAACGGGTATCCCCGTCGTTGCTGCTGCCGTCCCTCTCGGCTTGGCCTGGCTCCCCCCTGCTGGCGGAGGGCTTTTTCCACCGGGTCGGGAGGGGTTGGGGAGCGGTTGGGATGGGAGCAGGGGTGGCGGTGGGTTCCTCCATCTGGTACAAATCACCCCCCTCCATTAACAAACCTTCCCAAACCCCGCAGAGCACGCGGTGTGGATTCCCAGTCTGGGCCCAGACCCTCAGTCCCCTTCCCCCTCTTCCCGAGGATTAACGGAGGCGGCCCGGGATCCGCTAGCGGTCGCACGTTTTTTGCCAAAAAAGGCAAGGATGCAGCTGCACGCGCCGCGGGAACATCTGGATCCGATTCCCGGCATGAATGGGTCATGGTCCCGCCCCCCGTGATTCAAGGGCGGGGGCGGGAATGAGCGAGGGGGGTTGTCCCCCAAAGTGGGGAGATGGGGCGGAGCGCTGCTCCCCTCTCCCGGCGTCCGACGCCCCTGGCCCTGCCCCCTCCGCGGCCTGAGGTCTGGGCTCGGCAGTGCAATGCCGGGAGGCGGCCTCATGTGCACCGGCTGCACTCGCGGGCTCACTGCCCGCCCTCAGCTTCCCGGGGTGCAGACACCGGCGGCCCTCAGCGCCCTGGGGGCGAAGCCCTCGGGCCGGCAGAACCGCACGATTATTATATGTATCTCCTATTCAAGACTATACTCAGGCTTGACCATCCCCATCTCAGCCTAGTCCCCAGGGCTGGGGGCTGTCTGAGCAGCAGGGGTCCTAGGGTACGGGGTTTTGCATAGCCCTTGTCTGTCGAGTGAGTTCTCATTTCAGTTCAGTTCCATTTTGCCCAGAGATGGGCCAAGGGGTGGGATTGGCTCTCTCCCCTTCCAGATTCCTCAATAAAGCAGTGTGAGGAAGAGGTCTCTGTGTTTCTGTCTGGGGATGAAGGGTGCCTTCGCAAAAGGAGGCTCGGGCTCTTCCGGACCCCCTCTGTAGAGGGCAGACGGGGAAGCTGCCGGCCGCGGGGTGAGGAATGACCCGTGAACGGGTATCCCCGTCGTTGCTGCTGCCGTCCCTCTCGGCTTGGCCTGGCTCCCCCCTGCTGGCGGAGGGCTTTTTCCACCGGGTCGGGAGGGGTTGGGGAGCGGTTGGGATGGGAGCAGGGGTGGCGGTGGGTTCCTCCATCTGGTACAAATCACCCCCCTCCATTAACAAACCTTCCCAAACCCCGCAGAGCACGCGGTGTGGATTCCCAGTCTGGGCCCAGACCCTCAGTCCCCTTCCCCCTCTTCCCGAGGATTAACGGAGGCGGCCCGGGATCCGCTAGCGGTCGCACGTTTTTTGCCAAAAAAGGCAAGGATGCAGCTGCACGCGCCGCGGGAACATCTGGATCCGATTCCCGGCATGAATGGGTCATGGCCCCGCCCCCCGTGATTCAAGGGCGGGGGCGGGAATGAGCGAGGGGGGTTGTCCCCCAAAGTGGGGAGATGGGGCGGAGCGCTGCTCCCCTCTCCCGGCGTCCGACGCCCCTGGCCCTGCCCCCTCCGCGGCCTGAGGTCTGGGCTCGGCAGTGCAATGACGGGAGGCGGCCTCATGTGCACCGGCTGCACTCGCGGGCTCACTGCCCGCCCTCAGCTTCCCGGGGTGCAGACACCGGCGGCCCTCAGCGCCCTGGGGGCGAAGCCCTCGGGCCGGCAGAACCGCACGATTATTATATGTATCTCCTATTCAATCCGCAGAAATCCTATAGGGGGGGGCATTTTTCCATTTCCCAGAGGTGGAGGCTCGGCCTGTCAGTTACCCAGCCACTAGGTGAGTCACTGGTGGTTCGGGATTCTAATCCGCTTCAGACTGCCGCCTCAGCCCACTTGGGATCCTATACTTTCTGAGTCCGTGGTTGATATTTTCATCAAACCTTCACTAATGCCCCACCGTATGTGCTTATAATCAGTAATTAGATGTTTACACGTTTGTCTCTATCTCCCACCAGGCTCTATGAAAATTGGGCTTGCGCCTGCTTTGCTCATCCCTCCATTCTCAGCTCCGTGCACTTACTATATGTTCAATAAATACTTGAGGTAGAGTAATCCAAGCACAGAAAACAGCTGGCATAGGCCTGGAGGCCTGCGAAGACATGGTGCTTTGGGGAGTAGCAAGTAATTTCATTTGGAGGAAGTGCAAGAGACTAAAATCTCAGACTGAAAGCAGGTCATGAAAAGCCAAATGCCAAGTTAAACAGACCTCACCCTGAGGGTAGAGCAGCCAGTGGAAATGTTTAAGTGGGGCTCAAGATGATTACTCTGGCTGCATCATGAATAATGGGTTGGAAGGGTAAGATGAGCAGGCTGGTTAGGAGGCTCATACAGTGGCCCAGGTGAGGGAGAATAAGGCAGGTAGACCATTAGTGGAAAAGACGACCTAATGACCGGTTTGGTAGGGTGGGGAAGAAGGTTTTAGGGGAAGGCAGGCATGAGGTGAATGGTACTGCTTAGGTGGTCCACCCACCTAAGAGGAAGAGATGTAGCAGTACAATAGTGTGTTGTTGATTTTAATATAAACACTTTCCAGGTTTAACATCTCAGAAACCCAGATACCTTGCATAATCAAAGGGGTGACATGATTGACAGTTTTTTCTTTCTTAGTGGTACATACAATAATGGTGCAGTTAACATTTGACAGTGTCTCATATTTGATGGAGTATGGTAGATCCCAAACCTTACCAAAACAACAACAACAACAAAAAAAACCCTTGACATTCTGAGTCTCTCTAATCCTGAGTGGAGATTTCTAACCTCTGTCCTAGCTGTACAGGAAAAACCCCTGGCAGGGAGTTGTTCTAAGGATCCTCTCCCCAAGGCTGAGGTCTTGCTTACATTGTTAGACATAAATTTAACTCTCACAACACCCCATGAATAGGCAGGACAAGAGTCATCCCTGTATTATTTTTCAAACTTTATAAACTAAAAGCAATGCATGCTTACTGTAGAAAAATTGGAGAATTCTGAAAAGAGAACAAAAGGTAAACCATCCCTAATAATGCCTCCTCATTCTTTGTTAAGCATGCATATGCATATGTATGTCCATTTTTAGTTTTAGTTTATTTTTTAATTGTGAAGGTAATATAATATATGTTAACAAAAAAAAAACTTCATGCTGTTATTTTGGGTATATACAAAGAAAAATTTCCCTCCATACCAGACCTTCCATGTTATCTCCTCATAAACAACCATTGTTTAGTGTTACTTGGATATCCTTACAGAAATAGCCTTTTTGTGAATCTATTTTTATGTACATTGTTGTGCACCTAGCTTTTTTCACTTTGTGTGGTCATCTTTCCACATGAGCTCATACTGATTTTTTAATAGCTTTATTGAGGTATAAGCCACTTGCCATAAAATTCACCCATTTTGAGCATACAATTCATTTTATTTTAGGAAATTTATAGTAGAGCTATGCAATTATCACCACTATCCAATTTTAGAACATTTCTATCACCCCCCACAAAAGATTTCCTGTGCCCATTTGCAGTCACTTCTGATCTGACCTCCAGCGACAGGCCAACGACTCATCTACTTTCTGTTTGCATGGCTGTCTTTCTGGCATTTCATCTGGACACACACTACATACATCCTTTTGTGTGGGTGGCTTCTTTCACTTGGATGTTTTCATGGTTTATCATGTTTTCATCCATACTGAACATTTCTTAACTGCTGAATAACATTCCATTGTATGTATACCCCATATTTTGTTCATCCATTCCCAATTAATGGATTTTAGGGTTGCATCCAGTTTCTGTCTGTTATGAATAATACTGTGAACATTTGGACATGTTTTTATTTCTCCATCTAGATGTGGACATACAGACCTGTTTCAGTTTTTTTTTTTTAAGGCTGTGTAACATTTTATTGCTTGGATGTATCTTATTTAACCAGTCCCCTTCTGATAGACAATTAGGTTGTTGCCACATGTAACAGGTCAAATTGACCTGTTTGCCTTACTGCAGCTCCAGGACCAGATTAATTTACTTTTTTTTAAAAAGGAAAAAAATTTCCTTTTTTAAAAAAAGACAACAAATATGCTATCATCCCTGTTTTACTGACAAGGACACGGAGGTCCAGAGAAGTAATTAACGTTGTCAGAGGTCACCCTGAGCGCTAGGGACTCAAGTTCCAGTCTCCCAACTCCCATCCGTGTTCTTCAACTACTCAACTACTATTCAGTCCGCAGGATCCCTGCCCTCCCGGCGGGTTTCAGGTAGCCACAGGAAGCCAACCTGTGAACCTCAGGCTCCTGGATTTCTGTATGCCCCCTAGAGGCACCTGCACCTCTCAGCATCGCATCACCCCACCTCCAGCCAGCAGAGAGCACTGCTGCCAACTCGTTAGCTCAGATTGGGATCTCCCTGTGGCGCTCCCTTTTCCTCGAGTCCCCTAGGCACTTCCGGAACCAGCGGAACTTTGGCGCAGTGGGACGCTCAGAGTGGGGACACAAGCATATAAGGCGGCAGGAGTTGTTTCCGGCTGTATCCGTGGCCTCAATAGCGGTACGTTGGTGGAGGGAAAATGGAGACAATTCTCGAGCAACAGCGGCGATATCACGAGGAAAAGGAAAGGCTCATGGACGTCATGGCCAAAGAAATGCTCACTAAAAAGTCCACGGTGAGTGGGGTCTGGGCAAGAGCCCCATCTGAGGCTGGGCCCCTTGCCTGTTTAACCGCAGAGAGCTTACTTTGGCCCTCAGACCTTCTCCGCGCACTGCCCCGGCCCACTCTCGGGCTCCCTCTCCTCCCGGGGCCCACGTCGCGGGGGTCTCTCTGCTTCAGCCCTTAAGACCTCAGCGGATAACCTCCCTCGGGCGGCCTTTCCAACTTGAGAACTCCGACTAACGGCGTCTGTG